GGAGGAGGGAGGCGGGGCAACTGCCATGCTTCGCTCGTTTGCAAGCCATGATGTCTCTCCAGGAAAAAAAAAATATTGCACTCGCCTCGCACGGTAGTAGCTCATTTTCTCAGGGGCGGGCCAAATTCTCTGGGTGGGCAAAGCAGAGAAAGGGGAGGTAACCTTTCCCCGTATGACGACATAAAGGGAAGATTCCAGATTGGGCCGTCTGAGCTTTCATTTTCTCAAAGGCGAAGCAGGATACCCAGGGCTCAGTTTACACCTATCACCATTTCTAGCCCCTGGGGGACCGTAGGCAGGCTAGGGGAACTCAAATTAATGTTAAAAAACCTCATAAAGTGACATTTTCATGCCATGGGACCTTTACATTTTTTTATTTAATATGTATATTTTATTTATCATTTCTTTGGAGTGGAGTGTTATTTTTTAAATATAATTTATAAAAAATTATATTATTATTAATATTTATTAAAGTATTAAATAAAAATATTATTTTAATACATGGAGTTACTTATTTTTTTAATTAATTTATTTTTTATCTATCTATCTATCTGTCTACCTATCTATCTATCTATCATCTATCTGTCTATCTATCTATCTGTCCGTCCGTCCATCCGTCTATCTATCTATCTATCTATCTGTCTGTCCATCTATCTATCTACCTGTCTGTGTGTCTGTCTGTCTGTCTACCTGTCTGTCTGTCTGTCCATCCGTCCATCCATCTATCTGTCACAGTCTTCAGCGGGTGTGCCCAGGAGGGCCACCAGATGACTGTTTTCTGGGAGCACATGGCTTGTGTTGTGTGTGTCTGTTGCCATGTGCTCTCTCCTGTCTATTGTCTTGCCCCTCCCATCTTGTTACCTCGTTATAGTTTAAGTTGCTCCACCTGTGTCTCCCTCGTTAGCCTCCTCGTTTGGTTCCTATTTATTCTCCTTGTGTCTGTCATCCTGTGCTGATCCGTGTCTGCATGTGGTGCAGCTTTAGGCCTGCCTGTCTGTTTTTCCCCCTCGGGGTGGTTTGCGTTTGTTTTTGTTTCATTTTCATTATTAAAATAAATAACCATGTCTCCTGCAATTGAGTCCTCGCTTCATCTCCCCGCACGCACCGTGACAGAACGGATCAGCCAACATGGGGACTCAGCGGAGAATGGGCTCACACCGCCTACCGGTCTCTACTCTCTCCAGCCCCCTCTACCAGCGCATGCTCCAGCTGGAGACCCTGAGCTCCCTCCGCCAACGAGGGACCGAGCTGAGGGAGTTTGCCATGGAGTTCAGGAATGCGGCAGAGGGGCTGGGCTATAATGACTCGGCGCTGAATTTCTTATTAAATTATGCCCTGGATGAGCCCATTAGCCCCTGGAGCATGCTAGGATGCAGTCATCTATCTTTTGAGGGGTTTGTGGAGTTCCTGGCACGTTCTTCAGCTAAGGGGGCTGCAGCGCCTCCCGTGATGGCTGAGGGGTTGCGGCGCCTCCAGAGGCAGCAGACGAAGCTGCAGTGCCACCCTCTTGGAAACGGAGGAGGAGGAGGAAGGCGGCTTCTTCCGTCCTTCAAGGCCGGGAGGCCTCCCTAGAGCCTGGTGCCCTGCCGCCCAAGCTCAAGCTTCACGCCCTGCCGGCTCCGCCCAAGCTCGAGCTTCACGCCCTGCCGGCGCCGCCAAAGCTCCAGCTTCACGCCCTGCCTGCTCCGCCCAAGCTCCAGCTTCACGCCCTGCCGGCTCCGCCCAAGCTCCAGCTTCACGCCCTGCCGGCTCCGCCCAAGCTCCAGCTTCACGCCCTGCCGGCTCCGCCCAAGCTTGAGCTTCACGGCCTGCTTATATATATAAGCAGGACAATTATCTTTAAAGGTGACATATCATGAAAATCTGACTTTTCCAGGGTGTAAGTGCTATAATCAGGTCCCCGATGCATCTACCAACCAAGGAAACGTGAAAAATATTAACCCAGTCACTTTGTTTCGCTAAGCCTTTTTCTGCAAGCGTCTGAGAAAACAAGCACGTCTGATTTCACTCACTTGGTGACGTGACAAAGGGATCTCATTATAATATTACCGCCCCTTAATCTGTAAGTTTCCACCCACGGCGCCGTCATTTGATTTCGCAAGCGACAACGGTGTACTAGTTCTAATGCCATGATGAAAGTCTGAGCGAAGCATGCTAACTGTTCTGTGTTTGGCTGCACAGACGAGCACAGAACACTGTTTAGAGTCTCAGCCTCAGAGGAGACACGAGAGCAGTGCATTTATTGCGGAGTATTTTGAGCTGAAACTTCACAGACACATTCTGGGGACACCAGAGACTTATATTACATATTGTAAAAAGGGGCATAATATGTCTCCTTTAAAGTACATTGGAAAGTAAATACTATGATAGTATAAAACGGCAGTATATACAGGGTTTCCACATCTTTTAACTAATTAATTTAAATTACATTTTCAGTTTGTGATTACTGGATAGAAAGACAAATCAAAATGATGGAAAATTATATTGACGGAATGTATAACTAACTAACTAAATAACAAACTAACCAATAACCCTAAAGTTTATTTATGTGTTTTGTTATGTGCTTTTTGTCTTTATTAGTTTTAATATTTATAGTTGGCTTTAATTTACTAATAACTTTATTATTAATATAATAATAATACTTGTAATACAAATGTATAATCAAATAATATTTTTTTATTATTTTAGTTTTATTAGGTTTAGCATTTCTCTACCAAGAGAACCTTTATTTATTTATAAGTAAATTTAAGTTTAAGAGTTTTTAAGTTTAAGCTTTTCATCTAATATTTAGTTTTTATTTATCTTTAAAATGTGTAACACTGTGTATTAACATATTAAA